TTAGCCTGGTGTGCTTTTCTGGTGCAGTGAAAACCTGTTTTTTCTTCAATCTACTTCCCTGGGCTGTGTGTGAAATTCGCTCCAGGTCTGACAAACTTTTGTAATGGGAATGATGAATTTCACCTTTGGCAGAAGAATTTCTCCCTAAAACACTCATGGATCAGGATATTCCTAGGCTGTCTCAAAAGGACTTAGATATTTAGTGGCTGGCCAGCCACTTCTGAAAGAACAAGTGACACCATTTGAGCTAGTGAAAAGATTGCTAGGCTTTCTTCCTCTTAAAATATTATATATATATAATAAATATATAAATAGTATAACATGCTTTCAATCATTCTCTCTATATGAAGTAGAAATTACTTCAGCAGGGTCACTTCAGAGGAAAGTGACAAAGACCTATGAGGAGAAGATAGAAGACAGAGAAACCAGGGGTTTACAGACAATTTATGTCTAATCAGAACTTGGTGGTACTAGAAGAAATAAAAACTTTAAATCCTACCATTTATCCATTTAAATTAAACATAGAAGCACTTTTGGGGTTTATAGAAATTAAATCCCTGATCCTGAATTCATGTTACTCTGACAGGTGTTGATTTTCAAGGAAATGGGATTGACCATTGTTGCTTTTAAGTGTCAACTCTGCTTGTCAAAGCACAGATGAAAAACAGAGAATAAATAAAAATATATAATAAGTATCTCTAACACAATTTTTTTATTTGGTAATTTTGAAATTTTTTAGACATTTTTAGACTTCTGAAATTTTTAGACATATTTCCATATTCAAAAATATTGAACTATGCTTGCAAGCAGAGATAACAGACTGAATCCCTGCAAGCAAAACAATAGGTGAGCTTTAATGTATCATTAGTGCATGGAGGAACTGCTTGGTTTAGCTCCTGCCTCTACTCACAATGTGACAATATCAAAATTATTTTCATATGGTTATCTTTTAGATCTTTACAATATGAATTGATCACAGCATCCTGAACTTCACCCAGCTGCACAGGTTTAGAGATGGTAAAGTCACTGTTGTACAATTACACCCTTCTACCTTTGCTTTACATACTAGACAGACATATCGCATTTCTTTCACACTGTAAATGGGCATTGTATTACAATGTCCGGCTGATTATCCAGTCTGGCTCCTGGGTCTCTTTTCTGCTTGTGGTCTTCTCTTCCTCCCTGACAGGGTTGCCCTGAACAAAGTGTGCAGGTGCCATGCTGTCTTGCTACCCAGGGACAAGAGTGCACAAGAACTTTCAAAAAAAGTATGGAAAAGTGTTTTGAAATTTGTTGTCTGAAAATATTTTCTCTAGAAACTTCAAAAGCTGAAAGTTTGTGAGAAACAAACCCAAAGTTAATGTGAAGGTGGATGAACAGAATTCATTGTAATCAAGTAACTGTGCAACTATTTTGGCTACGTTCACTCCATCTGTCAATCATCATGTCACTCGAATAAAAACAAGCCAAGAATATAACCTCCAAAGAAGGAAAACATATTTAACAATCTGCACTAGCTTCAGAGACCAATGTTATAATGTATTTCCACTCATTGTGTGATACTCAATTCATATTAATAAACTACCTTAACCTCTGACATATATAATTTAGTAGGATGAATTTGGGGTATTTGAATCCACACATATGATAATTTTGCCCTCCCAGGAAGCTGTTGCTTTAGGCAACCACAGGCTTTCCAGGTGCCTATAGCATAAGGTGCACATGGTTACCAGTAGTTGGCTGTGCCGTAGAGTTTGTTTTTATTACATTGCAGTTTCACAGAAAGCAAGAATCTATCTCAGATACCTACTGGCATGATTTTTTGCTTGCAGATAAAGTTTGTTCATTAATTATGAAATATTTTAGGGAGGTATTAGTGCTATTCAGTGAAATAGGATGATAAGGTCATGATGAGTGTGACTCAAGAAAACTGATTTGACTGACCCCCAGCCAAATGGCTTAGGGTCTGTATCTGCCCTTCCCTCTCTGGACTGTTCGGGAGTATGGGGTCTGGGTCTTTGCCCCAGTCCAAAGCAGTAACATGCTGAGAAATTAACTGAACGTAGGCTGTGGCAAAATTTATGATGCATGTCTCCCACAGAATCTCCCCTTGACAGTATCTCTCATAACCCTTCTAGAAAGAAAATATTACTAGGAGTTGAATAATGAAGGTCGTAGTTTAGTTCCTATATCTTCTACAGATTATAAACTCCTGTGCAAAAAGACTTCTTTCATATTCCTTATATCATTATACCCTGATGTAATGCCACAGGAGAACTAATACTTTTGGAAGTCACTGTAATTATGGTGGAGATCTGGTGGTGGTGTCAGGAAGGCTTGAAGATTTCTGATTGCTAAGGAAATAGGGACTGCATTATGTAGAGATTTGCTTCTCCTATTAAGAAACAAGTTATAAAGAGGCCCTAGACAAACTGTAACACTTTAAAGAAGGCAGTATAAGTGAATGAGAAGGGGGAAGACTAAAGAAATGCGTTTTATTTTTCCTGGCCCCAAAAGAAAGTTATTTCCAGAGAAATAAAAATGTAAGTTGAACAATGAGACAGTCTCACTGTTACATAGCAACAGAGGCAGATAGTATGTGTATCGAGAGTTGCTGTCACAGCCCTTCCCCGGGTAACATCTGTCAGGAGACAAAGAAGCAGAAGAGTTCAGCTTGCTGCAGCACCCCATGCTCCACAGACAGGCAGGAGGCTGTGCCTGATGGTGTGGAATCCAGGTCACCACCAGCCAGATGGCCAGCTTTGCCATTGCAGGTTACCAGCCCTCTGTTGGGTCAACACAAATTAATTCCTAGGTCTCCTAGTTCGATAGAACCTACCAAAAGTTGGTGGGTATTTTTACTATGTGAACTACTAAGGGAACTAAGGAAAAACCTGCAGCAGGAAAGAGGCAGAAACATCTCAGCAACTTTAGCTGCTGCAGTGTATCAAGTGCTCTCTATTTCTGAAACAGATTAATGCCCACTGTTTATTTGGCTCTCTTGAGAACTGCAACACTTTTGCTTTGCAGGAGTTCTGATAAGCTGCTCTTCCCAAGTAAAATGCTTCTGTTGAGGTTTCTGTGAAATATGATGAAGAGCAAACACACTACCAACTCATTTTCACCAGGATTTGGTGTGAAGCTCTCCATCAGCTTAACTACAGAAAGCCAAAAGAAAACAGAAGGCAAAATCCAAAACGAATGGACCCCTCTTAGGCATGACATTTTGCATACGCTGGTATTAGAAGAATGAATCACAAAATATCAACAAAATCACTCACAAATTGTATACAGCAAAAGGTAATGTTTGTTCATTTGCATACATTATGTAGTAATACCAGCAGTAACTCCATTCTGCTTAGTAAAAAATAAGCACCAAATTTTAATTTTACAAGTCCAATTAATAAGTCACTGATCATTGCACAGCTGGAAGCAAGATCAGTTGCCCTTTGCTGACTGTTTGCTGCAGTCAAGACATTAATTCAAACAACTTAAATGTTTACAAAACTGGCAGTTGCACAATCAATGTTACAGCAGAACTTCTGAAAGCAATTTCTGAAGTTTTTGCTGATTTTCCAAAACACTGTTTTATTCCAGCTCCCTTACAGAGAGTAATTTTCATCCTTAAATGATTTCTAAACACTAGGCAGTCCTTTCATGTCTAGAATTTGTTTCAATTACTGATCTGATCTGAACCCTCACTAGGTCATATATCTCATCCCCCATTTTCACTAATCAGTGAGAACAAAACAGAAAATAAAATGAGAGATTTAATATTCTTGTCTCCATGCCTATAAAAATATCAACCCATATCAGTACCTTTGTTATCCTAATGTCAGCTACAAGAGAGAACCAGATTTTCTCTATTTGCTAGTTTTACAGGGCCTGATTAACAGTATGATCACTTTCTAATTGTCCATGGTAGGGGTCATCTAAACAGGATGGTACTGAGTACATTATAAAACTGGGTTTATGAACTTAATGGGTGTAGAGAAAGTGGGGCTCTCAAATATGCACTTCTCCTCATAAATCTAAGAACTAAACAAAAGGATCAAAATAAACCATGAAATCTCTTATATTACTGAGGTATTTGATTCAGAAGATGACAATACTACTCTGAGTAACAGGGTCATTCTAGGCTTTCCTGCTCCCCCGGTCCTAGTACAGTTACTGACCACTGCATTTTTTCTGCATAACTTGGCCACGTTGTCTTTGTTGGCTCTTGCCCGTGTGGAGGTAATTTAATATCAAAGGGACAACAATTAAAGAAATAATCACAGGCAGATTTTTGCCTGATGATTGAAACCACATTGTTTACCTTAATTTCTCAGCTTCTGCTGGAGCAAGGCTTTGAATCTCAAGCAGAGGCCAGCGGCTGGCACAGGGTAGATGACCAGAAGGCTTGCTGAGCCAGTGTACAGATAGTCTCTTCAGGTCTGTATGCCAGTGAAAGATGCAAAAGTTCTTGACTTACCTCAATTGGAAGACACTTTTCAGTCACATCTGCTGACTCTCTGAGGCAATCAGTCCGTAGTTTGCTTTCATCAAAATGAGTTAGGTTGCTTTAATCAGTCAAAACACAGTATGTCTGCAAGTGAAGTAATCTGAATTGAAGCAAGCACATAAACATCTCTACTGCAGGTGAGGCAGTAGTGATTTCCGAGAGAAAACATAAGGCAGTAGCATACATGATAATATTGTCACAGGTTTTAATTTATATAATCAGTTGTAAAAAACAAAAATAATCACAAATTGCCTTTAGAGCATGCATGTAGAGTGCAGGAGACTGAAACTGTGACCAATGTGTCACCTTTGTCTCAACATGTCACAGAGATCAGTACTTTCAAAGCAGTTAACCCTTTCCCAGCCACGTTTTCAGTACTGATTAAATCAGCATTTCAAGGACTGGCACTGATATATGAATTGCCCCATGACAGGGGAACTCCCTCACACAGCACAGAGAAGGCAGGATAATAGCATGCATTGTGGTCCAAAACCACCTTATCAAATCCAGGATGAAACTGGTCTTCTCCTGGCTGTACATCAGACTTCACTTGCCTCTGGTTGCTTGCAGAGAAATGGTGACTGAGAGTTCTGTGCATTGCCAGTTGTTGGATGCTGGCTGCAGCAATTATGCTCAAGAGTAGTTTGGGTTTAAGTAACTGCAGTCAGTCTGCCATGTCATAGAGCAGGTATTGGCTTTGTGGTGCTTGACAGTGCTTCCTTTTTTCTATTTCACCTTAAAAAATAATAATCATAAATCAAGCACATGTTGGCCCCATTTCTCTTCTAAATCCTGGCTGCTTTCTATTGCTCTGACAACACAAACCAGCTGTAGTCTCTGATGGAGCACTGAGCAGCCAGAGTATACAATGAATCCGATCTCAGTACTTGGTCTGCTCCCAGTAAGGTATTATTTTCTATTTGCCAAGACTAATTCTGCCATAAATATAGAATGTAATCATTTTGCATGCACTGTGGTATTTTTCAATCTTTGATCACATCTGCACCAGGAAAAATATTCTCTTTTCTTCACAGGAATCGTTGAACCTTATGTGTCTGATTTCCCCCATCTACCACATAGCTGTGCGATTACTGAAGACACATTTAACATTAATATAATGACCAAAGACTCAAAAATCACAGCTGAAACATTTTCCAATTAGTGGGGTCAAGGATATTGAGGTTTCAATAGCTTGACTGTATTTTTGAAGCATAAACATCCTGCAAACAGCCATATGCATTGTTTGACTCTTTGCAATTATACATATATTTAAAGTATTTAAGTGCACAAAATAAAATTAGCATTAATGTCTTGTCAGCTGGTGGTCTTCAGACCTTTCTCGGTAATGACTAACACTGCTCAAACAGAGTGAACATCCAATGTTTTCTTCTGCCCAGAAAGCATCCAACTTAATTATTTGGTCACCATTCGTTTTGGAGCACTTTGCCATTCCCTTCTTCCACTTTCCTACGTTTTCAGTTACCATTCCAGTTTGACATCATCTCTGCCCTTTCTTTGCAGCTGTTTCTGGGCTCCTCCTCTTCCTGGAGTCTCAGGACACCATATCCCCTTTTCCCAAAGTAGCAACCTTTTTCTAGGGGACAGGGTTTCACCTGTGGTGGTGCTGGCCATCTTCTTCCTGCTTTCTTCCAATAGCCCCTGACTGTTCTTGCATTTCCTGCAGGAAAGAAACACCTCACTTTCCTGCTGGGTGATACTAAGTTTTCTAAAGCACTGCAGAAAGATAGATGTTTAAAAGGGCTGCTAATATTTAATGTATCTAAGAGTGCAAGTCCTCAGAGCCACTTTGAAAACCCTACCATGTGATGGCCTTGTACCTTCAACAACAACAACAACTGGTTCTTTGACCTGAGTTCTGGTTCAGCCTTACAGCGATGTGATGTCTTGCTCGTCCCTCTCTGTAAAGGCTGTGCTTCGTAATTTAAGAAAAGGTAACCTCACAAGCTGAAAAGATCCTGGCAAATACTAGAAACAAACTGCCTCACCATTTTCTAACAGGAAAGCCAAAAGCTAAGTAAATATTTAAAGATCTTAAACTTATTCAAACAGAAACACACAGCCTGCTAGGAGAAACAGTGAGAAACAGAGAGAAGCTGGGGTGATTTGTGCTGCCAGCCATGCCGTGGCTTGTTCATGGAGCAGCTGGATCCAACCCTGGCTTTGCACAGAAAATATGTAAATTGTGAAGGACCCCAAGCACAACTCAAAACAATGAGATCCACTTGCACTGTTTCAACATTAAATAAACTGTGCTTTTAAATCCAGGAGATAAGTTTGGGGACACTCACCATTTGATCACAACCAGCTGGGAAGAAACATAGCCAGTTTCCAGTAGGCAAGAGGTCTCTCTTAGCTCAGGTGTCTCTTGATACTGCAGACATGCCTCCACAGAGTTTCTATAAATCACTGTTCAAACTAATTCTTTTCCATTTTGTGCTTAGATTATGAAAGCACATCAGTGCTCAGACACAGCTCTTCCTCTACTAGACCCTGGCACACAGAGAAGAGATGGGGTCACAGATCCTTTTTCCTACAGAAACAAGGCTCTTGAATCCTACCCAGATCTAGCAGAGCACATCACTAACTCAAATTAACTGTCCACAGCAAACAGTGGCTGAGACATCTGGCCATCTGGCTATTATGAGAAGCAAGTGGAATTAGTTCCTTTTTTTCCTCATTTATCCTCTCTGGAGACCACCAACACATTCATAGAGGAGAAAAGTGGCACTTCCTGCAATCCAAGAGTCTTTCTAGATCCCACCTCTCTTATACCAACTGCCAATCTATAGAGGAAGGAATTATTTTCTCAATTAATATTACCATGAAAATCAAGCATAAGTAAAAGAAGAAATTTAAAATATGAATTACAGCAATTGCTAATACAAGAGTAAGGAAATAAATCTGCTTTCCCTGAAAGCTTTACTTTTCTTTACTTTAAAACTGTGCCTGACACACATCTTCTCTGATATAAGACACATTTTTTGACAAAACAAGGGAATTTTTCTTATTGCTGTCAACTTTAATCCAACAATCTGGACCTAGAATCACTTACATTTGAGAAAATATATCTTGATGTATTAAATGCATTCTTTATCACTTAATAACACAAAATCCTTTTAAGTTTCTACCCTTTTATAATATGTGTCCAGTGCTTTCTTCCAATCATCTATCCAAGTCTCAATAACTGACTTAATAAATTTCACATCCCAGTCTTTATGCATCTTAGAAAGATAAGCATCACACTTGGTTTTTCATGGTGTCTCTACTATCAGAAAGAGCATGGCTGGGAATCTCAGTTAGCTCAAATGTGCCCAAATTTGGTATTTGTAAAGATGTACTTGATCATCTTTCCTCCTGGTCATTGTGCAAAAGATTGTCTGCAGATGCACAAGAAAGGCAACCCACAGCACTGGGCATCTTCAGAACTCTTTAAATACTTACTTTCCTGAGATAGACAGGCAAGAAGCGCCAGGTGGGTTGGGATTCTCATGAAGAGGATAAAATAAGGCCTATGCAAGACCTTTAATGTGCAGAGACCAAGCAAAATCTTACATAAAGATTAGGATTCCCCCAAGTATACTTGCAATTAATCATGGAGTGTTGCAATATTGTTTCTGCTCACAGAGATTGAATCCCAAGACAGAAAAATTAATGGACACACTTTATCAGATTAAGACCAGACCATTCTTACTTGTGGGTGCTTTTGACTGTACCTCAGTTAACACCCTGTTACATCCAACATCCAATAGTGATATTTAGCAATGGACATTTAGCAATATATCAGTCATTATTTTGATATAAACAAATTAATAAACCACTTACTGAGTCATCCAACACAGTTCCCATGTAGTCTTGCACTATGAAGAGGATGTTGTTATAGTGGTATCTTGATCCCCAGGATCAAGATACCCAGGAAACAGGCTGTTCAGAGAACTTAACTTCTCCTAAAGCATTATAAATAAACCCAGCATTTCAAATATATATGAAAAAATATTGAGAGAAAAAAAAAACAGACAAGCCAGAGAAAGGGAAACAGTTCTTCACAAACATTCACCAAAGGTAATAAATGAGTTTGGGCAGCCTTTGTCTAAATGTTATTCAATATAAAAATCTATCCCCATAAAACCTATACATATTATTATTTATGTTTTGTGTGACCTTTCTTTTGTCCTTAAAACACTGTAAAATAAAAGCTTTTAATAGCGGTATTCCAAGTATGAGCTGATATATAGCTAACTGCCTCCAAAGGAGAGCTGCTTCCCTCAGCTCCTGACACCAGTAAGAATTTTCAACATGCATCTGTCAGAAAAAAAAAATCCAGACACTATACAATCTTCAAGAAATGCACTGGAATCTATTTAATCTGAAGTGCTTTTGGTCATGATGGGCTTTCATAGCCTTGCATAGAAAAGAAATGTTGCCATGTTACCTTAACAGTAAAACAGATCTGGGCTTCTCTTCCTCATTTATATGATTAGCCACTGTTGTTCAGTGAAATGGAGTTGTTTAACCTGTCTGGAAAACGAGAAAGCATTTTTTTAACTTATTTGTCTGTGTAATCACAATCCCCCAATATGCCATATTTATTCCGAACTGTATTCTATCACATCTCCTAAGTTTTTCAAAAATCTGGCTTGAGTTTCTGATATATAAAACAACTCTGAAAGTTGTAAAAGGAGAAAACAAAACAAACATTATTTCTTTTTTAGCAGTGTCTTTGAACATTTCAAGTGGGTTGGGGATAGTAGGATTAAGGTCACTTCACTTTCTGCTGCTTGTTTCTGGCATGCTGTGTTGCAACACGTTGTGATAGCACTTTCACCAGATAGAATATACTTCTGAGGTTAGCAGAAAAATTAGTAGAAGAATCAACAAAAATATGAACAGAATCTGTCTTCATTATGTTATTAGGTAGCCAAATATTTTTTTTCTTATTCTGCCTCTATTTCTCTTCCACTGTTTTTAAAACCTCCATCTATCTTTGTAAAAATGCTCTTTTAAAGGGAATTTTTGCTACAATTTTTACCACAGTAGAACTGTGAATTGTCTTGGTACCTTCTCTGGGAATTAGTTATTGTCCAGTGATAACATCTGTGCAGCTTCTACAATTCATAGAGTTTACTGCATTAGGCTATTTCTCTACATAACTATCACAAAAGAATTATTCAGCCAAAGGAAATGAAAGTAACTTCTAATACAAAAGATGCCTTCTAGTTTAAATGTTCTCTTTTGATGCGATTTTGTTTTTAACTTGCTTTGCCCAAGGCTGTATTATAGTAAATAATGTAATTATGGTGAAGCTCTGAAGCTCATACAGGCCAGACTATTTTCACAAAGAAGTGGTTCTGCAGAACAGCTCATCTATTAAAGAAATACCATGAAACCTTTTGTTTGCTGTAGATTTAACAATATAATTTTACAGATCTTTTTGGCTTAGAGGCAATGATTTGACCAGTCCAAATGATACTACAATTTAAATGCAATTCAGTTTTTATACTAGGATACAAGTTCTGTAAAGGCCTGCAAGTGCAGCCCAGCTAACAAAGAGGGGCAGGTAAAACTCTACAGCATACAGTATGCTAAGCTACCATGGTAACAAATATAGGGCAAAAACCTGTAAAAAACTGATTTTGAGTCCTTGAATATCTAAGATGCCATTACAAAAAAAGGTAAGTACATTTTCAG